TCTTGCGCCGACGCTGCACTCCTCTCTGCATCATGTCGTCACCGACCTCCTGGGAAGTGTACCGACGAGCGGAGCTACCAGTACGCAGTCGCCGAAGTCGACAAAACCGTGACACATTCGTGTCCTGGACACCGTGCGGACAGAATCGGCCGCAACAGCGAAACCGAGAGCGCATGTTTTCAGCGAGGCCCACCCCTCCGCAGAGTCACTCTCGAGTGCGTCGCTTCAGCCTCCGCCAGAGCGCAAAAGCGCCGAGCCCTGACCGCCGCACAGGAGGCACCTCAGACACCACAGCCACTCTTACCAGCGCAGCATCCCCCGCTTGCTGCCGAGTTGTCACCCGCTTGCGCGTCCGCAAGCGAAGGCGGCCCGGCGCGGCCATCGGAGGCCTGTTTTTCCTCGGCATGGTGTGGGGCCGCGGCTCGCAGGCCAGAGGGAGTTTAAGTTAACGTGCCACTGTTGGGACCAAGCGCTGCCCAGCCCTTCTCCGCGTGCGCGCAGTGCTCCCGCACCGAACGCCCGACGTTCCGATACGTTCCGATCCTAGTTCCTTTTTGGGGGGGGGTGCGCGCGCGACAGCGCAGTAACCCCCGCTCGCTGACGTGACGCCCCGCGCGGCGGGGGCGCGTCCGAGGCGGGAACTCCTGCGCGACCGCCGCCTGGAGGATCAATTTTCGGGGACCTCGGCGGGCGGTGGACGCGAACACGTTCGGTCCCCCGGGGGCCAACATATATCAGATGTCCATGTCCACCGCCCAGTGGGGCACCGTGGCGTCGGTTGCCAGGCGGTGGGTGTGGACGACCTCCCCGCCTCGCAGGGGGCGCGCCTGGACCGGGGCCGCGCCGCCCCTGGAGGCCAGGCCGCCGCGGGCGGCTTCGTCGGGGCCTGGGTCGGTGCAGCGGCGGCCCCTCGCGCCTCGCGCGCGGGCCGGGGGGGCAGATGGGGGCGATGGAGGTCCGAGCCGAGGAGGCAGATCGAGACCAGGGCACCGAGCATCTCCACGCCCTCTCCGAGATCATGCAAACCTGGGGAGGCCGCCATGCCTGCTCCGCGCCCCCGAAGGAGGCCCAGCTCCGATATGGCAACGCTTCCATCGTAGAGCTCGCGGCCTTCTACCGCTTCAGGAAGCGCCGCGGGGAGAAGGGGCACGCTGTCCTAGACGTTCTCGCGGCGTGGGACACCATGGGGTCACGGGATATATATATATATATATATATATATATATATATATATATATCTCGCGGCGCGCCGCTGATCCGCGCGAGGAGCTCTGGTCAGATCCCGCCAAGCATTGAAACGCTTGCTTCATACCAGCTTCTATTCGCAGGCCCTGGCAGGTGGTTAAAGCCCACGTCGAAGAGCTCACCCGGCTCGCTGAGGACCAGGGTGACACTTCCGGGGAAAGCCCGGACGAGGCACGAGAGGACGAACCCGAACTCCAGGCGCGGCCCTGGTACCGGCGGGTGCGATTTTCGCCGCCGATCCCGAACGCCGGCCATGAGCGGCACTCTCCAGACCTTCCCCGCCCTGCCTGTCCTCGCCTCTTGGCGCCGCCCTCTTCTCCCGCCCTGCGCAGCCGCCCGCCCTGGCCCCGAGTCGGCGACGGGGCCGCCGGAAGCCCTTCCTCCTCCTCCTCCTCCTCCTCCTCCTCCTCCTCCTCCTCCTCCTCCTCCTCCTCCTCCTCCTCCTGGGGCCGGAAAGAAGGGGACGAGCAGCCGAGCGCCGCAGCCCGAGGGCCGGGGAAGCCGCGCGGCGCGTGCCCGTCCAGCGGAGGCCCCGCCGCCCGTCCAGCGGAGGCCCCCTGGCTGCGCCTGCTGGCACTCCCCGTTCGGGAGGTGCTCGGGCTCCTTTCCCTCGCTCGGGCTTTTGCGCCCGAGCCGCCTGGCTTCAGGAGGGGAAGGACACACACAGACACAATGAATCGTCGACTCCCAGGAAAAGATGGGAAAATATGGGAGGTGGGGGGGAAGACAGAAACCCAGAAAATATGGGAAACTGTAGGGAATCTTGTTCTTTGTGTGCATTTATTTGTGTGTCCTGGGGCCCCTTCATAGTTGTGCCTGCACGCGTGGCGCCGCGCCTGATGGAAAACTTGGCGCGCTCCGCGGGTTGGTCCCCGGGTGGCCAGGACACTCGCGGATTTCCCGCGGGAGGCCCAGGCCCATCGCGAGTTTTTCGCGGGAGGCCCGGGCCCTCGCGCATTTGTTCTGCGGCCCTCCTCCGCCGCCTCGCCCACGCGTGACGCGCCCAGCAGTGGAGGCCCAGGTGGCGCTGGCACCTGCCCCCGCCTCGGAGGAGGTAGCGCAACCGCGGTCCATCTCACCTCGTTGGGCGGCCTGCCCATCATTGGGTTCGAGCACCGCCGCCGCGCGCCCAGCGGCGCGCAGGCAGCGCAGGACCGCCTGGCTAGCGCCGGCGCCATCCCCTCTTGAATCAATGCTTGCCGCCTCGGGCCCCACCAGGACGCTGCCTGGCGAGGCCGTGGCCGCCTGCTGGACACCAGTCGCACCCCCGCTCCTTCCCCTCCGCTCGTTTTCGACATTCTTCGCCTCCGTCTCCTCCTCCCCCTTCCCGCCCGCGGCATCCTTCGCAAGTCGCGCGAAGAGAATCGCGCGCGGGGCGCTTGACCCCGCAGGGCCGCGAAGACAACGTCCGCGGCCCTTGGGCTGCACTCCAACGCTGGCACCACGGATGCGGCGCCGCGCTTCCGCCCAGCCGTCGGCCCGTGGCTGGCCAGAGCGGCCGCGCACCCCCAGTAGCGCTCAGACGGCCGTCGACGCTGTGCACTCCCCCCACGGCCACGCCCGCGTCCCTGGGCGACGAGGGTGGGGCTTGAAGAAGCGATGCGGGGATGGGCGGGGTGGACGGGCAACGGCACCGGCAGCAGGTTGATTATCAGGAGGAAAAGAAACACACAGACACAATTAATCTTCGATTCCCAAGAAAATATCGGAAAATGTAGGAAGTGGTTGGGAAGACAGAAACCCAGAAGATATGGGAAACTATGGGGAATCTGTTTATTTGTGTGTATTTATTTGTGTGTCCTGGGGCCCCTTCAGATTAGAGGCCCCAGCGCCTGTGACCCCCCTTATGCGCCCTCCATGGTTCCGCCGCCTGTGTAGGGACCCCTGGTCGGAACGCCTTCGGTGCTGCCTGCTATCGGGGAGGGCGCTTCGGGGTTTCACTGGTGAGCTGGGACATCCTCTTCCTTCCGTCCAGTCCTCCTCGTCGTGCCTGCTGCTCTCCCTCTCTTCCGCGCCTTCCCCGCTCCTCCTCCTCCTCCTCATCATCCTCCTCCTCCTCGTCCTCCTCGTCCTCCTCGTCTTCCTCCTCGTCCTCCTCGTCCTCCTCCTCCTCCTCCTCCTCCTCCTCCTTCTCCTCCTCCTCTTCCTCCTCCTCCTCCTCCTCTTCCTCCTTCCTGTGCCTCCTCCTCCTCCTTCCTTCTCCTCCTCCTGTTCTCCTCCTCCTCCTCCTCCTCCTCCTCCTCTCTCCTCCTCATGCTCCTCCTCCTCCTCCTCCTCCTCCTCCTCCTCCTCCTCTGCTGTCTGGTCTCTCGGGTCGCCCCCGTCCGTCGTGCTCCGTCCTCTCTCGGGGTAGCCCGCCCCCTTTCGGCTTGAGGAGCCTTTTTTCAAAGCTGGCCCGTCCCACTGTGATGGGACCCAGGGAGGCTACGGACGCAATTGCGACAACCCTCAGGCGCGGGTGCAGGAGGGGGAGGAATAGGAGGGGGAGGAGGAGGAGGAGGAGGAGGAGGAGGAGGAGGAGGAGGAGGAGGAGGAGGACGACGACGACGACGACGACGACGACGACGACGACGACGACGACGACGACGACGACGACGACGACGACGACATGGACGACGACATGGACGACGACGACGACGACGACGACGACGACGACGACGACGACGACGACGACGACGACGACGACGACGACGACGACGAGGATGACGACGACGACGACGACGACGACGACGACGACGACAAGGACGAGAATGAGGAAGAGGAGGAGGAGGAGGCAAGAAAGGAGGAGGGAGGAGGAGGAGGAGCAAGAGGAGGAGGAGCAGGAGCAGGAGGAGGAGGAGGAGGAGGAGGAGGAGGAGGAGGAAGAGGAGAAGGAGGACATGCTCCTCGGCACGCACGCGACGGCCTTCACGGTCTGAGTGTGGCTTCCGCCGCATCCCCGCCGGCTTGCCCTCCCCGCGTTCCTTCATTGCCGAGCTGTGCTTCGGCGCACCCCGCCGCCGCTTTACCGCCGTTTGGAGCTCTCACGGTCGCCGACCGAAAAAGTTTTGCCGCCGACTCGATGCCTTACGTCTTTGGGAGAACGCCTCGGACGCAAGGTTTGCCGTAGGTGCCGTGGTGTCGGTTTCGTCTGCCTGGCGCGGTGACATGTGAGGTGTTCCAGAAAAGGGCCTCGCTTTCGAGCGTCGAGGGAATTGCCATCGCTTCTCTGGCGGAAGTAAAATATGCGCCCTCAAGAGATGGCAAACTTTTTTGGTTCAGGGGTTGTGGAAGACGCCATGTGGCCTGCTCCTCGCCCGCAGAAGCAGCAGTCCGAAGAGGGGCCCCGCGGGGGGGGGCCCGCCACTGTGGCCCCAGCCCGTGGCCCTTGACGGCGGTTGGCGCCAAGTGAATACGGCCGCATGCGGCCACGAGCTTCTGGATGGCGTGTCGCTCCGCCAGTTCTGGCCCACCGCGCCGCGGAGCGACCTTCGATCCACCTCCGCGTCCCCAGGCGCCAACGTCCCGAGATCCTCCCGGTCTCACGCCCCGCGGGGCGGGGCGGAGCTGACACGGCACCCACTCGCAAGGCACAGCGTGTCGCCGGGGCCGCCGCGGCGACGCGCCACCCAAGAGCTCCCTGACCGATGTAGCGCCCCCTCCGCCGGCGCGTGCTCGGCGCGCGCGCGCGGCCCTGGTCCCGCCGCAGGCTCCTCCGAGGGCCGCCGAGGGGAGGCCTCGGCGGCCGCGCCCCCGCGCCGCGGGGCGGCGCGAGCATGGCGGCTCCGGGCGCCGGGGAGCTCACGTGGGCGCAGCGGGCCGCGGCCGCGGTGACCTCGCTGGTGGCCGCGCCCGCGTGCCCGGGGGCGGGCGGCGGCGAGGCCTCTCGGGCGCCGCGAAAGGGGAAGGGCGACGGCTCGGGGGGCCCCCCGGGGGGGCCCCTGTGGGGCACACGAGGCGCAGGCTTTTCTCCCCCCCCCCCCCATACGTCGCCCCCCACGTTCACGGCAATGTCAAAGCTCCCACCTCGCCCGACGGTGTTTTTTTGCCGCGCCGCGCCCAAAGTACCGACGCGGCTCCCCCCCTGGCAGCCAACAGGAGGAACCATGGGGCCCGTGAGCGCTGTGCTTGCTAAGCCTAAGCCATTGAGGCTTGAACGCACAAAAGGTTCAGGAGGGAAATGTCGGCCCAGACACAAGTACACGCTGATTCCCAAGAAAATCGAATGGCCTTCGGCCCATCCCGACACCGTGCGTGGGTTATGGGAATAAAGCCTATTGAATGTTCGTTGGAGTCGCGGGGGGCCATTCAGGTGCCTCTTGAAGGCAGTTTTGAGACCTCTTGGGGGTCGTTTTGGGGCCGTTTTGGGGTGTCTGTTGGGTCTCTTGGGGAATTCTTGGGGCCCCTTCGGGGCCTCTTGGGGGCCTCTTGGGGCCTCTTGGGCGCCTCTCGGGGCCTCCTGTGGGCCTCTTGGGGCGGAATGCTCAGATGTTCGTTTCGTTTTCCCTCTCTTGGGCACTTCTTGGGGCCCCCTTGGGCCGTCTTGGGCGCTTCTTGGGCCGTCTTGGAGCGCTCTTAGGCCGTCTTGGGGCGGTCGGTGGTCTTGGGGGCAGTTCCCGGGGTTTCGAGCGCTCTTAGGCCGTCTTGGAGCGCTCTTAGGCCGTCTTGGCGGCCTATGGGTTTCCCTTACATAGACGATTGCCCCCGGGGCGACTCGGCGCCGAGATTCCGAATTATGGGAAACCTATAGGTCGCCAGGACGGGAATCTGGCGACCGATGGGTTTCCCATAATTCGCGGCGGCGCGAGGGGTCCAGATTCCGCATTATGGGCAACCCATAGGTCGCAACAAACCCAAGGGAATCTGGCGACCCATGGGTTTCCCATAACTCTCGGAGGCGAGCAGGGTCCAGGTTCCGACTTAACCCATAGGCCGCCAGATTCCCTAGTGTTTCTGGCGACCGATGGGTTTCCCATAACTCGCGGCGGCGAGCGGGGTCCAGATTCGGAATTATGGGAAACCCATCGGTAGTCTGGCGGCTTATAATTCGGAATTACGGGAAATCCGTAGATAGACGATTGCCCTAGGGAATATGGCGCCCATGGGTTTCACATACTTCGCTGCGGTAGGCGGGATCCAGATTCTGAACTATGGGAAACCCATAGGCCGCCAGATTCCATAGGGTTTCTGGCGACCGCCGGGTTTCCCTCATTCGCGGCCGCGAGCGGGGTCCAGTTTCCGAATTGTGGGAAACCCATCGGTTGCCAGATTCCTGAGGCTTTCTGGCGAACTATGGGCTTCCCATCATTCGCGGCGGCGAGCGGGGTCCAGATTCCGAACTATGGGAAAACCATAATTCGCGGCGGCGAGCGGGGTGCAGGTTCCGAAGTATGGGGGACCCATCGGTCGCCAGAGACCCCTAGGGAATCTGTCGACCTATGGGTTTCCCATAATTCGCCCACGTTAGCGGCCCCGTGGAATTGCACAGAATTCCAGACGCAGCGCAAGTATTGGACAGTCGCATTCGAATTCGCTCGCGCAACGTGGGCGGCGAGCGGGGTCCAGGTTCCGAATTGTGGGGAACCCAAAGGTCGCCAGATTCCCTGTGGGTCTCTGGCAACCTATGGGTTTCTGGCGACCTATGGGTTTCCATAATTCGCGGCGGCGAGCGGTGTCCGGATTCCGAACTGTGGGAATCCCACAGGTCGCCAGATATTCCATGGTCTCTGGCAACCTATGGATTTCCATAATTCGCGGCGGCGAGCGGGGTCCAGATTCCGAAGTATGGGAAACCCATAGGTCGCCAGAAACCCATAGGGAATGTGGCAGCCCATGGGTGTCCCATAACTCGAGGCGGCGAGCGGGGTCCAGATTCCGAATTGTGGGTATCCCACAGGTCGCCAGAAACCCTCAGGGAATCGGGCGACACATGAGTTTCCCAAGTTGCCCCCGCCGACTTATGGGAAACCCATAGGTCGCCAGAAAACCTGAGCAATCTGGCGACCCATGGGTCTCCCATAAGTCGCTGCGGCGAGCGGGGCTAGATTCCCAAGTATGGGAAGCCCACAGGGTGCCAGAAAGCCCTAGGGAATCCGGCGACCTGTGGGTTTCCCATGATTCGCGGCAGCGAGCGGGGTCGAGATCCTGAATTATGGGGAACCCATAGGTCGCTAGAAACCCCTTATGGAATCTGGCGGCCTACGAGTGTCCCATAATTCGCGGCGGCGAGCAGGGTTCAGATCCAGAATTACCAGAAACCCATAGGCCGCCAGATTCCCTGGGGTTTCTGGCGACCTGTGGATTTCCAAAAATTCGCGGCGGCGAGCGGGGTCCAAAGCCCGAATATTGGAAACCCGTAGGCCGCCAGAAACCCTAGGGAATCTGGCGACCTATGGGCTTCCTATCATTCGCGGCCGCGAGCGGGGTCCAGATTCCGAACTATGGGAAACCAATAGGTCGCCAGAAACCTTAGCGAAGCTGGCGACCCATGGGTTTCCGATCTATCCGCGGGGGCAAATCCTGGCAATCCCGAGGGATCTTGCCCCCCGGTGGCCGCCAAGAACATGGGAGACCCATCGACCGCCAGATTCCCTACGGTTTCTGGCGACCTATGGGTTTCCCTTATCTCGGCGGGGACAAGTCTGGGAAACCCATAAGTCGCCAGATTCCCGAGGGGGTTCTGGCGACCAATGGGCTGCCCATAACTTCAGGAGCCGTTTTTTTTGTTGTTGAGGTCGTGGGGCTGGCGCTTGACGCCCTGCGACCTCGGGTCTCCCATAACTCGCTCTTTGGAACCTCCTCCTTCTCCTCCTCCTCCTCCTCCTCCTCCTCCTCCTCCTCCTCCTCCTCCTCCTCCCCCTCCTCCTCCTCCTCCTCCTCCTCCTCCTCCTCCTCCTCCTCCTCCTCCTCCTCATGGGAAACCCATCGATGGACGGCAGCCGTCTTGGGGGCCTCGTAGGTCGTCTCGGAGCGTCGGACCGCCGAAAAGACGACAACACCCCGATCCGTCAGGAACCGACGGCAAATCAGTGATGTTGGCCTCTTGGGGTCCTTTCGGGGGGCCTTTTGGAGGCCTCTTGTGGCGTCTTGGAGGCCTCTTGGGTCGTCTTGGAGCGATCGTGCCGCGACCCAGGGCCGTCTTGGACTCATGGGAGGGTTCGGGAGGTCGCTTTGCGCTTGTGGGGGTGGGGGGGCACAGAGACACTTCAAAGCTCACGGGAGCCAGCCCGGAAGCTTGGGACACAGTTGGCCGGGCCTGTAAAGACTTACAATGCTTCTTGCAGCAGCAGCAGCAGCAGCACAGCGGCGACCTCCCAGTGCCGCATGAGCCTTGAGGCATTCAATTTTGTGCCAGAGGCACGGTGGCGGTGATTGGAACATATGGGAAGTGTGAGGGAAGACGAAAACCCGTGACATATGTAAACGTAATGGTATTCCTTGGGTTTTTGTCGACTTATTCGTGTGCCCCTGGGCCCCTTCAAAGGTGCACCTCCTTTTTGACTCCAGTGCAAAGGGGGCCTGGTGGATTTCAGGCCTTATGTCGTTCTGGGCTTTTCGAGCTTGCATGTTGTTTTCTCTCTCTCTCTCTCTCGCTCTCTCTGTGTCTCTCTCCCTCTCCCTCTCCCTGCCTCTTTGATTCCTTTATGTATTCCTCTGTCTCCCTCTCTGTTTCTCTCTCTCTCTTGTTTTTTCTCCCTCTCTCTATGTATCACTCCAGCTCTCTCACTTTCACCCTCTCTTTCCCTATCTCTCTGGCTGTCGCTCGGACTGCTTTCCTTCTCTTTGGGGGGGAGGTGGTCGGCGATTTTCGCTGCACGCCTGGGTGCCCGGGTGCCCTGGGGTGCCCGGGTGCCCGGGTGCCCGGGCGTTCCCGGGGGTGCCCCGGGGGTGCCCGGGTGCCCGGTAGCCCTATATCCCTATAGCCTTATAGCCTTGTAGCCCTATAGCCCTATAGCCCAGTAGTCCTGTAGCCCTATAGCCCTATATCTCTATAGCCTTATAGCCATATAACCTGATAGCCCGATATGCCTATAGCCCTGTAGCCTTATAGTCCTATAGCCCTGTAGCCCTATCTATAGCCCTATAGCCCCAGAGCCTTATAGCCCTATAGCCTGATAGCCCTATAGCCCCATAGCCCCAAAACGATGATGGTTGGGGTTTTTCTCCGGTAACATTCCCTTTGTGGGTGGCGTACACAGAAAATCCGTTTGGGGGGGTGCTTGGCCTTGGGGGAAAGTTCTTGGGAACAAAATGCGCTCCGACAAATAAAACTGCACCACTGGATCCAGAGGACCTTCTTTTGTCCTGGGACTTTCCCCCCAGGGCCCAGCCCCCTGTGCGAGGAGGCAGCGCCAGGGACCGTTGGCAGCCAGTCTGTGCATGGGTGGCAAGCCAAGCTCCGTCGGCAACACCTCGTCCTCCTCGTCCTTCTCCTCCTCCTCCCCGCACTTCTCCTTCCCTTCCAGCCTTACTACGGATTCCCGACTAAGGATTCCCTACTTAGGATTCCTTCCGAACGTTTTCATTACGAAGGATGCCTTACCAAGGACTCCTAAGGAGTCCTGACAATCGATTCCTCAGTAAGGAATCCTGGCGAAGGGTTCCCGATTCGGAATTACTGCATCAAGGGTTGCTTACTAAGGACTCCAGGCGACGGGTTCTTCGCCAACGATTTCTTTACTAAGTATTCCTTACCAGGGATTCCCTACGATGGGGTCCCGAATGAGGGTTTCTCATTGATTTGAAAACTTGGTAGAGGATTCACGGAAGCATTGTTGCGTAGGGCTCTTTACGAAGGATCTCTGATTAATGAATCAGTGCCAAGGATTATTTTCGATGTCGTTTCGGTTGAGGGTTCCTTATTCTGGAATCCAGCTCATGTGCCCCCGACAAACGAAGCCTTTACTAAGGACTCCCTGCCGCGGGCATTTTTTATTCAGGACTCCGTACGTTGTACCCGTCACTGCATAACCCTTACAGCGGACTCTGCGCTAAGGATTTATTGCTGCGGATCCCTTGCGCCGGCTTCCATGGGCTCCTTTTTGAGAACGAGCTTGCAATAATACAGCTCTTCTCGTTCTCTACGAGGAAGCGATTAGTCCTGAATCCTTAGTGGGTTGGTCCTTACTACAAGGTGCATTACGAAGGCTTCACCGTCAAGGAGTCCGTATTAAGAAATCCGGAATAATGCTTGCAGGAAAAATCGTTCCTTAAAAAGAACTTCCTGCGAAGTGTCTGTCACAAGATGTGCAATACCAGAGATCCTCGTTAAGGGTCCCTTGCTAAGGATCCTCCACTGAAGAATCCGTACCAAAGACTCCCTAGTCATCATGTTAAGGACGCCTTTTCTAGAGACGCCCTGGCTGATGATCCATTTGTGAGGAATCCCGGCTGAGGATTCCCGACTAGGCTTCCTGCATACGGGTTCACTACTAAGGGTTCTGTGCCGAGGGTCCCTGAAATCATGTACGATGGGTGCCCAAAGTAGGCATTCCTGAGCGAGGACCCCGTCCCAAGGCCCACACCTAGGATCCCTTTTTAAAGAACTCATTGATCAGGTTTTGTTTTCCAGATTTCTGATTCAGAAGTGTTGTTTCGTAAGTCGTTATTGAAGACTTTTTGCTACGGATTTCTTGCGGAGGCCTCCCAACACTGGATTCCCGAACACGAAATATTTAATGAGGTCTCCAGATGAAAGGTTTCTGGTTCAGCAATCCCCACGGAGGATCTCCTAGATTTGCGAAGGATCCCTACGGATGCTTCCTTGGTGAGCATCACCCACTGAGAGTTCCTTGAGCAATCCTCTCTATAGAGGACTCCTGACCAACAGTTCCTTACTACGGCACCCCTACTGATGATCTCTTAGTGAGGAATCCCGATGGGGGGCTCTCTACCAAGGATCCCTGCGTAAAGGCTCACTACTAACACTTCTCCACTGGTGATCCCTTTTTCCCGAAGGACTCTTTACTAAGGATCCCTTGTAATGGAACCCTTGCACCATGGACTCCTTATTAAGGATTCCTGACTGGGAATCCCGTGCGAAGGCTGCACTTCTAAGGATTCCGCATTGCGAATTCATTGATTTGGATTATTTTCTTCTGATTTCTGACCAGGAAGTGTTTAACCATACATCCGTATGGCTGATTTCTTACAAAGGATTTCATACGGAGGCTTCCGCACGAATGATTCCTTATTGCGAAATCCTGGGGTACCAGAGTATGGCTTCTTTATTACACACCGACGAATAATATGTTCAAACCTATTCCTTACCAATTAGAGATCTTCTATTCGGAAACTCGGAATTCCTTAAAAGGATTCTCTATGAAGGACTCATTACAGAGGGCCCTTCAGTACGGATCACCCAGTAAGGCTTCCTTGGCCGGGAATCATTACTAAGAGTTTTCTACAAACGGCGAAAACACATCGGCGCAATTTGGACACCGCAAAAAAAAGGGATACAGAAAGAGAGAGAGAGAGAGAGAGAGGGAGAGAGGGAGAGAGAGAGCGAGAGAGAAAGAGAGAAAGAGAGAAAGAGAGAAAGCAAGATAGTAAGAGAGTAAGAGAGTGATATAAAGAGAGAGAGAGAGAGAGAGAGAGAGAGAGAACAAAAAAAACAAAAAGAGAGAGAGAGAGAGAGCGAGAGAACGGGAGAGAGAGATATACAGAGAGATCCGCATACAGGTTTCAAACAAAAAACACATTTCAAAACCCACCACCTTCCCTGCACCTGGAGCCCTCTCTCTCCCCCCCCCCCATTTATCGCCCCTTCCCCCCCCCCCTGGCGCGCAACGCCCGAGGTCTTGCCGCCTCGAGCGGGCGGCGGCCCAGGCGCCCAGGCGAGGCGGGGAGCGCACGCGAGTGTGCTCGGGAACCGAGGTCCCCCAGATACGGCAGGGGGGAGGCAACTGGTGGACACTCCTCCTCCTCCTCCTCCTCCTCCTCCTCCTCCTCCTCCCCCTCCTCCCCCTCCTCCTCCTCCTCCTCCCCCTCCTTCTCCTCCCAAACTCAAGAGTTGGCACGCGCGGGGAAGCCTGCGGTCGAAGTGCAGTTCATCCAGCCCACGGCCACCAGCATTGGTTGTTTTGGGAAGGGGGCGTTGACGCATGAGTGCGGCCGGAGTGTTCGCCAATGTCTTCCGACGCCTGTATCTCCGATGCGGCGTCAGTCTTCGAGTTCGGCACCCGGGGGCCGTCTGGGCCGGGACGCACGATTATGCCCTGGGGCCGCCAGTCGAACAAAATCATAGCGGAAGATGTCCGTTATTTCAGATGTGTGTCGCCTTGTCGGGCTTCCTGTCAGGAGGCGCTGGCGCGGCCACGGCTGGGTTCGCCTCGAGATCCTGGCGGGAACGCGCCCCGCAGGGGCTGCAAGATTCGTGCTAGATGTGCCTCCCGAGCCGCCCAGCCTGCACACCGCGGACGTCAGATCAGCAGCTCCGTCGAGGGTTCCCGGGACTCCCCCTCCTCCGGGCCCCGACCCGCCCGTTCCGCATGCCGTGGCCGCCGGGTCCCCAGGTCCACAGAGGGTCCGGGAGGCTCCTGCTCCGGGTCTAGCTCGCCCACTCGGCACACCGCGGCCGCCAGATCCTCAGGTCCACCGAGACTCCCCGAGGCTCCCGCCCGTGCGAGCATGACAGAACAGAACTAACGGCACACCGCATAACAGAAGATGGCATGACAGAACAGAGCACGGTACTCGAAGATAGCATGGTGTGGCATAACATAGCATAGCACACCATCACACTGCATGACATGCCATAGCATAGCAACACGTGTTATGGCATATCGGGTCATGAAACACACAGTGCTACATCAAGCAACGTATAATGACAGTGTACATCATACCCCAACATAACATACCGTATCGTAACATAGTATTGCCGAACACATTATACCAACGTGCAGCGCCACATCACCTAATTAGTGTTACATAGCAAGACAAATCGCACACACCATGTCAGAACGCGGCAAGGATGGAGCAGGGCATAACATAGCATCACATGCCATACCATGGCACAGCATGGCATACCATACCATAACATAACACAGCATCGGTCATAACATAACATAGCAAGGCATTGCATGGCACAGTGAAGCATGATAGGGTAGGTCATCACAGTTCGTCACATATCATATCAGAGTTGTTGTACTAGTGCAACCACGATGGCAACGGACGCAACCGAACCTCTTATATTTTTACATGTTGAAGATTAACATCATGATATAGCATACAAATACAAATGAATGAACAGGGAGCGCCTTGCCCAGCACAACCTAACATTATTATCATATTACGGTGCCACGTCTACGAAAATGGCAACGATCAGGATAGACCATCATCGACTAGAACAGTATCGGAGAGGTATGTTAGAGCATGGACATATCATCACATAACATAACGAACATGTTATAGCGTATATATCATAACATAACAGTGCAACATACCATAACGAGTCATCGGATGACAGAGCTGAGCATACCAGAGTAGGCTTTAACGTAATAGAGTGCATCACCACTGAAGAGGATACTCATGACAGAATCGACCGCATCTGCATATAATCAAACGCGATTTGTGTGCCGAGGTCATCCGAGGTCAGGCCGGTCACAGGAACAGAGGCGTAGTAATGACCGATGGGACGACGCATTCAACGGGACGGGCGTCACGACGTCACGCCCGCCCGTCGAGAACACAACAGAGCATAACATAAAATCACATGTTAGAAATTTATGGAATGTAACGAACATCATAACGTAATGTATCGCACTTGGATGCTATCAAGCGCGATGTGGGCGCCGATGTCAGGCTGGCCACAGGAGCACGCAGGCGCAGCAACGACCGATTTGACGACGCATCTAAAGTGACAGGCGTCACGACGTCACACCGCCCCGTCGAGAGCAGGACAGAACAGACCATGTGGGCATAGAACAGTGCAGAACCGAACAGAACGTCGCAGAGTACATTACAGCAGAGATTGAGCGATGCAGTCGCATCATGCGCGACATGCGCGCCTTGCCCACGCTGGTTATAGATATTATTAGGAGCAGCAGCGACCGATTGGGCGTCATATCAAACGTGCCAGACGCCACGACGTCACGCCGGCCAATCCAGAACATAACATAACAGAACATAGCGTCGTTGACTACAATGGGGCGTATTCTAAGCGAGCAGTATATAGCACAATATTCTACAGCAGCCACCAGTCCACAGCGTTGCACCAAGCGAACATCATAACATAACGGATCGCACTTTAATACTATCACTCGCGGTGTGCGCGCCGAGGCCAGGCCGGCCACAGGACACGCAGGCGCAGCAACGACCGATTGGACGGCGCATCTAACGTGACAAGCGTCACGACGTCACGCCGGCCCGTCGAGAACACAACAGAGCACAGCATTGTATAACATACTAGACAGATACAGCAGCGACCGATTAATTGCGCCCTGTCGAACGCAGCATCCACGCCGATGTAAGGTTGGCCGCATGGTAAAAACAGGCGCAGCAACGACCGAGTAGACGTCACGCCGCCCCGTCCAGAGCAGAACAGAACAGACCATGTGGGCATAGAACAAAACAGAAGCTAACATAACGTCAAAGAGTACTATGCAGCAGCGACCGAATAATGGCGTCGTATCAAACGCGACATGCGCGCCGAACTCAGGTTGACCACAGGCCCAAACAGTACCAAACTCTGGAACAAACTCCGAAGGTTTCGGCGGGGATCGTCGACGGAAAATAGTCATGTTGTTTTGCAGTGCGGGCCAGCCAGGCCTCGTGAGTGGCGCTCTGAAGGCCATTGAGCCTCCACTGAAAACTTGGGCCGCCTGGGGCTGGAATTGTGTCGGGTAGCGACCGAAGTTTGGGCTTACGGAGGCCCGATTCGGGCCCAAGGATTCGGGCCCAAGGGATGCGGGTTGAGACACGAAACTGTCCCAGGGGGGGTCGAGAGCCTTGGTGGCCCGCGTCATGAGACGTCCAGGATTTGGGCACTGTAATGAGGCTGGCGTCGCGATGGCGCGGCGGCGACCTCGGCGCTGGCGTGCAAGGCTGACCACCGCGGGTGGTCCAGGGCCGGCGAGCATCAAACCATCGCCACAGATATCCGACGTGTGCTTTTTGAACCCGCGGCTCCAGAGGTCGCGACAATTTCCCCAGGTGCAGTTCTTGCGCTTGGGGTCCAATCCTGCTGGCCCCGAGGGCTGCACAGCGCCTGGATTGAGAGAAAGCCTGGATGTCTTGCGTTCCAGGCTGAACGATCTACGCGGCGTCCGCCCGTGGCGGGCCCGGTGGGGAAGTGAGAGGGGGCAGGCCTTCTCGGAAGCTGGCGGGGCTTCTCGGAAGCCTCGGAGGTGGATAGACCTCCTGCCCCGACACGTCGATTCGCGACTTGGCAGCTTTCGGTTCGCGAGAGGGCGTCGCGGCCGTCGTCTTCGCGGGTCCAGGTCCGTCGGCTTCGGTCCCGGGCCGTTTGCACTCCAGGGAGGTTCACGAAAGGGAGGTCTGTCCACCGCCGAGAGCCCCATGGCGCCTCCGGGGCAGGCTCAGAACTGCTCCGGGAGGCCCGAGGCCTTCCGAGCCTTTGGAGGAGGCCCGCCCCCCCTGCACTCCCCCCCTGGGCTCGCCGCCGAGCCGGAAGCCGGCGCCGACGTCGCCGCGGCGCGAATCGACGGCAGGGCGAGGTCGTCCAGTACTTCCACGCGGCCGACGTGGCCGACGGTGCAGCGCGCTACGTCCTACCCTCAGCTGCCCTGATACGCCCGCGTTGGATCGGAATCACCCCGACATACCCATGCTATGTGTGCGTCGCCCCCCCAGGGGCGACGCGCGCACCGAGAAGTCTTCTAGTATATGCGTCGTAGTGGGCGCTTTCTGGCCACACCGCCCAGGAAACGATCTACTGCAAGATGGGTATGCTGCATGTTCGGGTCGGACCCACGCCTCCAAGGAGGACGTATATCACCACCCACCAAGCCACCCCAACCCAACCCGAAGCCCTCAATCTGCCCTCCACTTCCAGTGGGGGGGGGATCGGGAAACGATGAGAAAACACATGGAATCCGTACCCCCCCCAACCCGAAATTGGGGTCAAATTCGGGGTCTTCGGGTTGGGTTGGGGTGGCCTGGTAGGTTGTCAGTATAGTATTAGTATGTCCCTGTGCGTCCCACTGGAACGCAACACGCACCGTGTCCAAATCGTCAAAGCGCTGCGTGTCGGCTCGGTGGTGCGCGTGCCGCGCCGGACGTTGCGCTGTCGGTCTGCGTGCTGAGCTCTGCGCCCACGCGCCACGGGTGGCGCGCTGCGTGCAGTCGAGGCTGCGCGTGGAGAGGAGGCGCGAAAGTGCACACAGACCTCTCCGAGAAGCGCACTGCCATAGGAGTCTAAGAGGCATGGGTCGCGAAGCTCAAGCAGTGGCGAAGCGTCCTGGCGTGCCCGTAGGCCTACCAAACAATCTTCTGAGAACCGTTTGTGGTTCCCACGAGATGTTCTTAGAACAGTTCTGGATGGGACTGTCTTGCTTTAACACATCGGGCCCATGTTCTAAGAACACTGTTCTGTTCTTAGAACATTGTTGGGTTCTAAGAATATTTCGTGGTAGGCCTATAGGAATGCCAGGACGGTCGGCCCCTGCTCAAAAACACAGGACACAAGGGTACGTGCCCTTGAGTTGGCAGGGTTGACCCACTAGTCGGCCTCGACTGTGTCGGGGCAGCTGAGGTCCAGCCCTGCGGCGCGGGCGCGGCGGACGCCCGCGGGCGTTGGCCTCTGCTGCTCAGGTCGCACGGGTGGCTGGACGCGTCGCTCCAGGGGGGCGGCACGCTGGAGGACGCCCTGGCGCGCTGCGACCCACGGAGGCGTTGCGGGCAGCAGCTCGTGCGAGCATTGCTCGGCATCGCTCGGACCTGTGCATTTTGCCCGGCGGGGCTGCAACCTTCCTCGAGCTCAAGTGCAAGTTGTGTCTACCTCCCCCCTCGCACGCCCCTCCCCCCACCAATCTCAGGGTTCGGCGACGCGCGAGATGCGGCCCGCGGTGTCCGAGGTAACATGTAAGCCGCCAGTTTCGACGCGAGCATTGGAATTGGGGGTCCAGGGGCGCCGCTACGTCGCGGGACAGCAAAAAACTTGCGTTTGATTTCGAGGAGGGCTGTAGTGCCAGAAAGTCAGGACCATCTAGGATCATCTTGCGAAACAAGAAAAACACGAAACCGAACACAGCACGGGAAATGGGCATCCGAGCGGTGGCACGCTAATGTGTCCTTTGTCCTCGAAGGTCCGTTTTGGGGTTGCACTGGCGTGCGCCAGCGTGTGGTTTTCGAGGGCATCGCGCCGATTTAGCGTCGACTGGCGTCAACCGTCTTCGATTCAGCATCCACTGCTGCAGGAAACTTTGGGATAGCGTGTCGCTCCGCCGGCTCTGGCCCACGCTTTGGCACGACCGACACACTATCTCAGAGCCCCGAATCGTCAGGGATAAAATTCGGGTCGGGGATAACTCGGGTTCGTTTTTCGGGAGTCCGAACCCGAGTTACCCCGGACCCGAGTTACCCCGGATAACTCTGGCGTCAGAGCCCCGAATCGTCAGGGGTAACTCGGGTCGGGGATAACTCGGGTTCGCTTTTCGGGAGTCCGAACCCGAGTTACCCCGGACCCGAGTTACCCCGGATAACTCGGGCGTCAGAGCCCCGAATCGTCAGGGATAAAATTCGGGTCGGGGATAACTCGGGTTCGTTTTTCGGGAGCCCGAACCCGAGTTACCCCGGACCCGAGTTACCCCGGATAACTCGGGCGTCCGAGCCCCGAATCGTCAGGGGTAATTCGGGTCGGGGACAACTCGGGTTCGCCTTTCGGGAACCCAAACCCGAGTTACCCCGGACCCGAGCTACCCCGGATAACCAAGGGCTCCCCCGAGGGCGCGAAGTTATTCGCGCTTCGCGGTCCTCGTTTCTCCTCCCCCTCCTCCTCGTCCTCCTTTTCTCCCTTTGGGGGGGCGGCGCGAGAGCGCGAAGTTATTCGCGCTTCGCGCTTCGCGGAGCGCGAAGCGCGAAGTTGGGAGCCCTAGGATAACTCGGGCGTCCAACTATCCACGTCCAGGTGCCCAATCGTCCACGTCCCGAGCCCTTTCCGAGACTCCTTCGCCCCGCGGAGCGGAGCGACACGCCAGCCGCTTTTGCAGGGCGGGGCGTGTCGCCACAGAGCCGCCGCCGCGACGTGCTGAGCAAAAGTTTTTCCGACCGCGGCGTGCGCCAGCGTGCAGTGGTCGATGAGATCGCGCCGGCGAGCGTCGAGTCAGCGTGGATGCAGCGTCGACTCGGCGTCGATATCGGCGTCGACATCGGCGTCGATCAGCGCCGACCCAGCAGCGCCGATCCGCAAGGGCCACCAGGAGATGGCACTGGAGGCCCCCAGACATTGCCACAAAACAGTCGGCTACGCGTAAGAGCGACCTTTCGCCAGAGTGACTCTTGGGGCGGGCCCAATGGGGCCCCCCCATCCCTGAACGCGAAGCGGCAGCAGCGCCTCGCGCGCCTTGGCTTGGCCACCCCGCGTCCCCTTTCCAGCCGCGCGCCACAGGTCCCTTCCCCCCCAATAAAACACAATTGTTTTTTACCCAGGGTCACTTTGCGCGCAGCCGAAGAAAGGCAGGAGACCTGGCCCGTCGTCCTCCCGCACGGGCCCGTGGCCTTCGCGAACCGGCGCGGCCAGCCCATCTCGGTCGCCGGGCCCGAGCTGCGCGTGCACCCGGACAGGCTCAGGCCCCGGTCGGAATCCGACCGCCGCCCCGCGCTGTCGCTGGTGCTGGTGCGGTGGGGCGGCCGGTTTGAGGTGGCCTTCTCCTCCTCCTCCTCCTCCTCCTCCTCCTCCTCCTCCTCCTCCTCCTCCTCCTCCTCCTCCTCTTTCTCCTCCTCCTCCCCTTCTCTTTCTCCTCCTCCTCCCCTTCTCCTTCTCCTCCTCCTCCTCCTCCTTTTCGTCGTCCTCCTCCTCCTCCTTTTCGTCCTCCTCTTCCTCCTCCTCCTCCTCCTCCTCCTCCTCCTCCTCCTCCCCCCCCTCCTCCTCCTCCTCCCTCCTCCTCCTCCCCCCCTCCTCCTCCTCCTTTCTCCTCCTCCTCCTCCTCCTCCTCCTCCCCCTCCTCCTCCTCCCTCCCTCCCTCCCTCCCTCCCTCCCTCCCTCCCTCCCTCCCTCCCTCCCTCCCTCCCCCTCCCTCCCTCCCTCCCTCCCTCCCTCCTCCGACGGCAGGAGGCTGTTTTGTACGGGTCCAGCGCTATAATCTCGGAGGAGGCAAAGGCACCGGCATCACTGCCTCTCCGATCCTTTTTTCCTTTTTTCTTGTAGGCCTCCCAGGAGGCCCTCGTCACCGCTGGATGCGCCTCGAAAGTCTGCTCCGAACGCACCCCGGGAGAGGCCCGGGGAGCAGCCGTAACGGTCCCTTGTGGCTTCCCCGATGACCTGCAGGTTATCGGGGAATAGGCATGGCAATCAATCATAGACACTGCTTGAAAAATTGGCACGTTTAGACACTCGAGCACGCCGTGGTGGCGAGAGCGCCGCGCGTCTGCTCACGTCTTTGTCTGGTTGTTTGAGACACTCGCGCGCGGCGCTCGAGCGGGAGTGCCGCGAGTCCGTTCGCGCCTGACGCAAAAGAGGCACGTCTTCCAGGGTGGGTCAGCGGCCGCCCCCTCCCCCGAGCAACCCGACGTTGTCGGGCTCGCAGGTCCGGAGGAGGGGGGCGCGCGGTGGGGCGCACGCGGGGCTGCCCAGAGCGGCGAAGGGGCTGGAGCATCGGCCGACGTTGTCGGGCTCGCAGGTCCGAAGGGGGGTGCGCGGTGGCACACGCGGGGCTGCCCAGAGCGGCGCAAGCGCCGACGTCCCCCAGTCCTCTCATCCCACCGCTGGGCTGGCTGATCTGAAGTCGGGCCTGTCCCTCTGCAGGAGGAGTGTTCAAAAAAGTCCAAATCGTCAGGAGGCGATGTTCTTCAGAGTTTCGAATCTGGTTTGACTATTCCTTTTCCTTCCCCCCAAAAGTCCGCCTGTAGGAGGACATGCCCGACCTAGGGAGAATCCAGGCGATCGCCGACGAATGAGAAACGAGCTTCGAAGACTCAGCGGAGAGCCAGGGAGCGGTCTCGGCTCCAGGTGGCTAGCATCCAGGTCAGCCAGAGGATCTCGGAGGGAATTGGTTGACCCCGTTAGCGCTCACCCCCGTTGTGCGGGAGCCCGAGCAGGGACACCAACAGAGGCGGGGACGCCACGGCGACCACGACCAGCGCTGAGTTGGCTTCGGTGTCCTGGCGAACGCTGGCATGCAAAATTAGGACATGCCCCAGTGTGTGTGTGTGTGTTTGTGTGTGTGTGCGTGCGTGCGTGCGTGCGTGCGTGCGTGCGTGCGTGCGTGCGTGCGTGCGTGCTGGTGTGTGTGTGTGTGCGTGTGCGTGTGCGTGTGCGTGTGCGTGTGCGTGTGCGTGTGCGTGTGCGTGTGTGTATGTGTGTGTGCGTGTGTGTGTGTGTGTGTGCGTGTCCTCGATGTGGTCGTGGTCGCTCGCTGTCCCCCCCGCAGGTGGACGACGGCAGGGACACCAACAGCGACGGGGACTGGGGCCACTTCGGCTCCCCGCCGTCGGACCGGTACATGAGCGCGATGGTGAGCGAGGGCCTCATGCGCCACGCGCTGCTGGGCGAGCGCCGTGGCGTCGAGAGCCCAGCGCCAGAGGGTGGCCGGCGGCCGTTCGACTTCGAGCTCTTCTCGCTGTTCGTCAGGGACAGCCGCGACACCGCTGGGATTGCCCAGTTCGCTCCCCATCTGGCGCAGGCTTCCCGCGCTGTCGTTTTTCTGTGCCTCGTGGTCGTCGTTGCTTCCCCCTTGGCCTCGCCTTCCTCCTCCTCTCCCTCGTTGCCTCGTCGCCCTCCAGCTGAGGAGCGGAGGGATGCAACATGCTGGAAGCAAACAAACACAAAAAGCTTCCGCGCGAGTTTCCCAGCTTGGCGCTGAGCCCCGCTCGCGTCGCCGCCAGCGCCGCGCCGCTCGCGGAGCGCTCCGCGAGCCAGCGAGGGGGGTCTCAGCGCTCAGCGCCGGTCAACAGAATCCGCGCGGACCTCCGAAAATTGATGTTCGAAGCTGCCCCGATGCGCACGTGTTGGAACGCAACACGTACACCGTGTTCAAAGCGTCCGTGTTAGCACGCCGCGTGTCGGGCTCGGCGTATGTTGGCCCACGTTTCGGCGAAGGTGTCGCGCCAGGCCTACGTTTTCACTCTACGTGTTGAGTTCCGTGTCAACGTGTCGCGGGTTGCTTGATGCGTATCGGGGCAGTTGAGGGCGCAGGCGATGGTGGGCGACAAGAGGGCCGCGTTCTGGATGCTGTGGCCTGCCGAGTGGGACGACTTCGGCGAGAAGGACTACGCTGGCTACGTGGGCGCCCCGCAGATGCTGGACGCCATGCGGCACTGCGAGGCCGCGGGCGTCCGCTCCGGCTTCCCCCATCCTGCGGCGCAGTACGAGTTCATCGTCTCGAAGGCTTGGATGGCGTCGCTCGCGCCCCGGCCGGAGGCGAGGCTCCCGGCGGCGGTCCTGGTCCGCAAGGACCGGGCGCTGCGCACTGGGGGGGGGCGGCAAAGGAGTGGGCGAAGCCAGGCGCACCCCTCGGGCCCGGAGCGGGGCTCCACAGGGGACCCCAGGGGGCCCAAAGAGGGCACGAGAGGTGATTCCACGCTTCTCCCAGCCCCCCATCAGCGCCCCCTTGTAAGCAGCGCTCGTGAGGACGATGTGGGGGCGAGCCCGAGAGACGCCGCGAGGAGCGCGCTGGCACGGCTCGAGGCCGTGCGCCAGGCGGCGCCCTTTCCCCCGGACGGGCGCCCCGCGCCGTCGGGGGCGAACCAGGGCGGGATCAAGCGGGGCGTCGTGAAGCTCGGCTACTCCTGGGAGGGGCGCTTCGTGTCCTTCTTCGAGGGCGAAGCCCAGCTCGCCAAGAGGCTGCGCGAGTTGCTGTACGCCGACGGCTACCGGGGCGAGCAGTGCATCGTGCAGGAGTGGGTCGACTTCGACTTCGAGATGCGCCTCTACTTCCTGCCGCCGGCCGGCCGGTCCGTGGCGGGCGGTGACGTCGAGCCGTTGCCACCTTCCAAGGTCGAGTTCAACGCGTGGAGCAAGCAGAAAGACAACGACGGGCCTGGGGCGTTCGTCAAGCTGCCGCGGGAGCAGGCCCTGCGGCGCTGGGGCGGCGACTGTGCGGCGCTGGACTTGGCGGAGGAGCAGGCCGGGCGCACGTCGCAGTGGCTGCTGGCCCGCCTTGCGGAGCTGCACCCCGAGCCGGTGGCGATGGTCCGGCTAGACTTTATGCTGCTGAGGCTGGGCGACGGGCGCGCGCGGGTGGTTTTCGATGGCAAACCATTGCAGCCTCATACGTACCGTTACGAAAGTTGTTCATCTCGAGCACTGACGTCAAGGGCGTCTCCGAGCGGGGCACCCTTCCCCCCGTAGACTCCTAGCACGGCAGCTTTCGGCCTGGTTGGACGGGAGAGCTTTCCCGGAATCTCCCTGGTGTACAACGAATAGTATATAACCAATTCAGGATAAAATCTCTCCCCCTATAAACACACGAGGGGGAAGTCACTCCCAGCCACTTCCGCGCAATTCTGAATTTCTCCCCGTGTGAATTCACAAAGATATTTTTTCCCGCGCTACTTCTGACCACAGCGCCCAGCCATGTCAAATTTAGCCCAGATGAATCAACTTTCGTAACGGGATGCATGTCCTCGTAATTCTGTCTTTCGAGTGCATTCGCGTGCGCTGGCGTCTGGTAGCCGATGGGAGGGCGCCGATGTAGCGTCGATGAGCGTCGATCTGGCGTCGGCCAGAGTCGAGTGGCGTCTGTCGGCATCGATCCGCAAGCGCCAGCAAGATGGCATGGGAGGCTCCAGTGGGTTGCCACCGAAGGTGGTCTTCGGCGAGTACTGTGAGATGGGCGCTTGCTGCCTGGCCTGGCAGGAGGGCCCGCCCACGATCTGGCGCGCGGCGGTGGACTGGACGCTCAGGTGAGGCGCGCCGCGCGCCCCGAGAAACGCGTCGCTGAGCCGTGGCCTCCCCCTGGCTGTCGAGCAGGGGGTCGACTGCAGAATTGATCTAGGCCTCCTGGATGGTGTCGGAGTAGATGGGGTCGGAGAATCGCACCGCATCGCCGATGCAACGCCGACGCGTCGGCGGTGCATCAGCGATGCGGCTCGATGTGGGGCACAGTAAGCTCCATGCCGACGTCGCCGATGCATCGCCGACGTCGCAAATGCATGGCCGATACATCTGCGATGCATCGCCGATGTATCGGCGATGCGGCGAGATCCTCCGGCTTCATTTACTCGGACCCCATCTAGGAGGCCTCTAATAGATTTACCCCGAATTTGGTTTTGCTCGTCGAGTCTAGTACTACACATAATGTTGTAGAGGGGTCGTAGATCTAGCAATATCATGGGATTTCTCGTGAGAATCAAGTTTTGGGCACATGAACTCTGTAGTCGAACTCCTTCTCGAAGCTTGGACTGGCTGGGGGGTTGAGGTGGCCCAGCACTGGTCCTGGCGAGCAGGAAGGGGGGGCAGGTTCGAGGCTCTGGGTTCGGGAAAGTGTTTTCCCTTGGGAGGAGGAGGAGGAGAGGAGGAGGAGGAGGAGGAGGAGGAGGAGGAGGAGGGGAGGAGGAGGAGGAGAGGAGGAGGAGGAGGAGGAGGAGGAGGAGAGGAGGAGGAGGAGGAGAGGAGGAGGAGGAGGAGGAGGAGGAGGAGGAGGAGAGGAGGAGGAGGAGGAGGAGGAGGAGGAGGAGGAGGAGGAGGAGGAGGAGGATGAGGAGGAGGAGGAGGAGGAGGAGGAGGAGGAGGAGGAGGAGGAGGAGGAGGAGGAGGAGGAGGAGGAGGAGGAGGAGGAGGAGGAGGAGAGAGGAGAGGAGGAGGAGGAGGAGGAGGAGGAGGAGGAGGAGGAGGAGGAGGGGAGGAGGAGGAGGAGGAGGAGGGGAGGAGGAGGAGAGGAGGAGGAGTAGGAGGAGAGGAGGAGGAGGAGGAGAGGAGGGAGGAGGAGGGAGGGGAGGGGGAGGGGGGGGAGTGAGGGGAGGGAGGGAGGGGAGGGAGGAAGGGAGGGAGGGGGGGAGGGAGGAAGGGGGGAAAACAACGGATCCGGGGTGAAAGACTGCGCCAGATGGACCGATTTGGGGCGGATTTGGCTTCATCCCCCCTCCTGATCAGTTTTCTTAGGGGGCCCGACCAGTTCAGGGCCCCTGGCCGCCTCCAACCCCAGCCCCTCCCCTCGGCGCCCTGCGCGAATCGCTCCCGCAGCTGCTCGAATGTGCCCTGCACGTCGGAAGTTCGTTTCGGATGGCTTTTTGCTCGTGTGTCTGAAGTGCCGTTCTTGTCTGGCACTAGGATTTGCAAGGGCTTGCACCCAAGGAGGTCCGATCTCACGATCGACTCGGTTCCGTGGCGCTACTCCTCAGCCTTGCAGCTCATGTCAAAACATTATCCTCCTCGTCCTCCTCCTTCTCCTCCTCCTCTGAGCGAAGGAGGAGGGCGCAGGAGGAGGAGGAGAAGGGCGCAGGAGGAGGGCGGAGGAGGAAGAGGAGGGCGGAGAGGAGGAGGAGGAGAAGGAGAAGGAAGAAGAGGAGGAGGAGGAGGAAGAAGAGGAGGAGGAGGAGGAGGAGGGTGGAGGAGGGCGGAGGAGGAGGAGGGCGCAGGAGGAGGGCGGAGGAGGAGGAGGAGGAGGGGGAGGAGGAGGGCGCAGGAGGAGGAGGAGGAGGGCGGAGGAGGGCGGAGGGCGGATCGCCGCCGCCTCGCGCGCTGCGCGCCACGGCGCAGGCCGCGGGGGCCCGCGCGGCCCAGCGCCAGGCCGAGGCCGCGGCGCAGGCGGCGGAGCGCGGGCGCCGGGCGGCGGAGGGCAGGGTCGTTGAACCGTTGCCTCCGGTCGGGGCTGATTGCAGAGGGGGGGAATGGGAGCCTTGGCGCTCGCGGAGGCAGCTGCCCGCCACACGCGCGGTCCTGCACTCCCCTGTGCGGGCCGTGCGTGGCGGTCCCCCCCCCCCCCCCTCCACCCCTCATTAGGTGCACGCGCCTGAGCTGGGCACGGCGCCGCCGAAGCGCTTGACCGCTCGCTCTGCGTGCGCGTCGCAAAAAAAAAGAATCAATGAAAACGGGGGTCAGCCAGAGCGCCCGATCTTGCAGGATCCTGCTGGGCCGGGGTCGCATTGGCCCAGGCTTGGGCGCAGGATCCTGCAGCATGTTGCAGGATCCTTCGCATTGGCCTGGGCTTCGGTGCAGGATCTGCAGGATTTTGCAGGATTCTGCAAGGCTTGACGGACCCGGGTCTGGATTGACCCGGGTCAGAAGGTCCCCGAGGGAAACGAAAATTGCCATAAACATAATCACACGGAGGTCCGCGCGGATTTCTCGGATCGGCGTTGAAGCCCCCTGGAGGCGCTTCCCGCGCCGCCCCTGAGGGGGGCCCAGCGCGGATCCAAGGCATCCGCGCGGACCTCCGAGTTTTTATGTTTATGTCATTCTTTCGTGCCCCTATTACAGTCGACCCTGATGCCGTGGATGTACGAAATTAACGTGAAGCCAAGTCATAACATTGGAATTCCACCGATCCAAGAATGCAGTCCGGGCCACGACAATGTGAGGCTCAGAAACCTGCACTTGTGGTTCGCGCTTAGTTGTTACATTTTCGGCGGCGGCCGCCGATCGTGCCCAGCTTGGAACCCGCGGATTTTGAATGGCAGAATTCCAACGTTGCGAATCAGCTTTCATTAAAAGTTTCCGTCCACGATAATAAGGATGAGCGGTTTTCCAAGGTCTCCCTTGGATTATGTCCCTTCGGCCCATCATTGGCCACTGTCGTTGGCCGCGCCCCGTTCGAAAAGTGTCGGCGTGGCCTCCCAAGGCCCTTGCATCCTTACCGTGCAATCTTGCTATCAGTTTTGATTGTAGTAGGTCGGCCCTGCCAAATCAAGGGTGCCCTTGTGTCTTTTGCGTTCACGGCCCATGCCTTTTGAATTCCTGCGGCGATGTGGCCCTCGTAGGGGTCTTGTGTCCTCTCGCGTGTCCTCTCCAATCAACCTCGACATGCGTCCCCGTCCTCATCCCGATCCCCACCATCCCACTGGCCCAGTTGGGGACATGCCCCTCGAGACCCGAAGGGTGCAGCGTATATCCCCATCCCCGAGCACCGAGCGGCTGCCCTGGTAGGCGGGGCAGGGGGGAACCGGTTGCGGGTGCTCGCGGAGAACCCTGGCCGACCCTTCGGGTGCGCCGGAAGTCGCGCCCTTTGTCCACTGTCGTGCGTCAGTGGCCAGAGCGCGTTCGGTGTGGCAAATCATCGGAACCTGGTGTACCCTTTCAATTTGGTTTTTAGCGTTGAGAAACGTCGATTGGCGTCTGGGGGTCGGTGAAATAGCGCCGATATAGCGTCGACTCGCGTCGCTCTGGCGTCGGCTAGCCTGTATTTAGCGTCGATTAGCGTGACTAGCAAGAACCAAGAAGATGGTATGGGAGGCTCCCATGATTTGCCACGGAAGAGTGCGAACAAGCAAACGCTTGTACCCATCCAGGGGGTGGGGCCCAGGTGATCGTTTTCTCATTCCTTGTTTTGCCGATCGGCGCGGGCCTTCTCCTCCCCCCTTCCCCCCCCCTTCCGCCCAATGTCGACACGCCGAAAAAGAAAACGTTCACCAGGCCACCCCAGAGCGCACCAGCGATGCCCAGGAGAAGGCCCTGGCCACGGAGCGCCGCGCGCAGGCGGCGCGCGAGGCCGCCGCGGCGCGGAGGGCCGCCGCGCAGAGCCCGCGGGCGGTACCCGCGGCCTGCAGGGCCGAGGACGAGGCGTTTCTTCTCATCTCGTCCTGATCCTCCTCCTCCTCCTGCTCCTCCTCCTCCTCCTCCTTCCTCCTCCTCCTCCTCCTTCCTCCTCCTTCCTCCTCCTCCTCCTCCTCCCCTCCCTCTCTTCCTCCTCCTCCCCTCCTCCTCCTCCTCCCCTCCTCCACCTCCTCCTCCTCCTCCTCCTCCTCCACCTCCTCCTCCACCTCCTCCCCCTCCTCCGCCTCCTCCTCCTCCTCCTCCTCCTCCTCCTCCTGGTCCGCTCTCAGTTAAGCTCTCGGCGAAGTCCGTCCTAGCTGTCGCTGGGCAGCATTCAAGGCTCTCGCTGGCGGGTGGACTACAACAAACCGCATGCACGTGCTCGTGCAGAGGCCCTGCGTCTTCGGCTGCACGGGGGTGCCACATTCATTCCCCCGCTACCTCTCCTGCCCCGTCCTCGTGAGCCTCCCCTGGTCCCCCGACTCTCCTCCGCTCCTCAGCACGCTAACTACGTGGGCCATGGGCCCTGCAGCTGCCGACCCTTCTTTCTGGCCCTGCCAGCGACTTGTCGTTGCGGCGGGCGATAGGGAGGGTGGCGCGTGCCTTACACAATTACTACGACATGGAGCTGACTCTGCAGCGCCGACGCCAGACGCAATCGCGTCTGCGCTCAGCGCAGCCCGTGCACTCCTGTGGCGGTGGACCGCCTTTCTTCCTGCGCTGCAACCACGCTGCTCGCACTCCTCCTCCTCCTCCTCCTCCTCCTCCTCCTCCTCCTCCTCCTCCTCCTCCTCCTCCTCCTCCTCCTCCTCCTCCGTCCTCCTCCTTCTCCTCCTCCTCCTCCTCCTCCTCCTCCTCCTCCCCCTCCGTCCTCCTGCGGGGCAAAGGCCATCGGGGAAGTTGTTTTTTTGCTGGGGTTGCAAGGGGGTCCGACGGCGGTCGAGCAGCGGCGCGGGCCTTGCCTACCGCCAGCCCGCAAAACGGGGAGGGGCAGCCTGCATCCTGCGCCGATGCATCGCCAACGCATCGCCGACACATCGGCGATGCATCGGCGACATCCCACGACACCAACTGCCCGAGCCCCATCTGGGAGGCCTCCGCAGAACTGCATCGTTCTGGGGGTCACTGCACAGTCAACCCGCACAGTAGAGATGGGCAACCCTCCCAAGGGTACCCCTGCATCCTTGCCCCTTCGGCCCATCCTCGGCCACTCGGGCTGGCCAACCTACTTCGAGAAACGTTCACATGGGCCTCCAATGCCCTTGCATCCTCACCGCGCACCCTCGTGATACGGGTTCAATGTAGTCGTAAACGTCGGGCTAGCGCCTTCTGAGAAGCAGCTGCATTCTAAGGAGCCTTACTCCCTCTCCCTACCCCGTTGTGCGCGCCGCCAACACCAGGGGCAAAGACCATCGGGGGACAATCAATATAGCAATATAACACAATGACAGTAGAACATAAACATAAACATAAACTTTCGGAGTTCCGCGCGGATTTCTCGGATCGGCGCTGGGCCCCCCTGGCGGCGCCTCCGGCGCCGACCCTGGCGCGCTCCTCGCCTCAGGGAGGGGATCCCATCGCCGATGAAATCCGCGTGGAGCTCCGAAAGTTTGCGTTCACAGCATGGTTTGATCCTCGATGCCGGGGGGGGGGGTGCGGCCCAGGGGGAGGAGGAGGAGGACGAGGAGGAGGAGGAGGAGGAGGAGGAGGAGGAGGAGGAGGACGAAGAAGGAGGACGAAGAAGGAGGACGAAGAAGGAGGACGAAGAAGAAGAAGAGAGAAGAAGAAAAGAAGAAGGAGGGAGGAAGGAGGAGGAGGAGGTCCCCCAGGGTTTCGGCCGTTCTCGTTGCTCCCTGGCGGTCTGCCAGCCTCGGGGGATGCCTGGCAGCAGCCGCGAGCCTCGTCGGGGATGCCCAGGTCGCCCCGCGAGCGGCCGCCAGAGACCCGAACTGCGACCCCAAAGCCCAGGAGGAGGGGACCCCTCCTCCTCCTCCCCTCCTCCTCCTCCTCCTCCTCCTCCTCCTCATCCTCCTCTTCATCCTCCTCCTCCCTCCTCCTCCTCCTCCTCCTCCCTCCTCCTCCCTCCTCCTCCCTCCTCCTCCTCCTCCTCCTCCTCCCTCCTCCTCCTCCTCCTCCTCCTCCTCCTCCTCCTCCTCCGGGCGTGTATGTGTGTCACGCCGCCCCCGCGAGTCACACCTGAACCCCCCGGACACCCCCCTGCCGGAGTTGTTCAGGAGGGAAAGAAAAACACACAGACACAATGAATCGTCGACTCCCCCGAAAGTATGGGAAAATGTGGGAATTGGGGGGAGGACAAAAACCCGGAAAATATTGGAAAATATGGTGAAACTGTTTTTTCGTGTGTATTTATTCCCCACATGCTTCGTGGGGTTCTGGTTTTCTTCCCTGCCGCGCCGCACCCGCGACACTCCCACACACACCTCACTCTTCCTCTCCTTCTCACAGCACTGCTCAGCACATCTCAGCTCAGCTCAGCTCAGCTCAGCACGGCAGGCGCGGCACTTTCTCGACACCAGGAGGGTGCGCAGGGGGTGCGGTGTCTATGCGTTGCAGGCGCGCAGGGCGCGGCAGGCGTGGCACTTTCTCGACACCAGAGGGGGTGCACTGGGGGTGCGGTCTCTATGCGTTGCAGGCGCGCAGGGCACGGCAGGCGCGGCATTTTCTCGACACCAGGAGGGTGCGCAGGGGGTGCGGTGTCTATGCGCTGCAGGTGCGCAGGGCGCGGCCGGCGTGGCACTTTCTCGACACCAGAGGGGGTGCACAGGGGGTGCGGTCTCTATGCGTTGCAGGCGCGCTGGGCACGGCAGGCGCGGCACTTTCTCGACACCAGGAGGGTGCGCAGGGGGTGCGGTCTCTATGCGTTGCAGGCGCGCAGGGCGCGGCAGGCGTGGGAATTCTCGACACCAGAGGGGGTGAACAGGGGGTGCGGTCTCTATGCGCTGCAGGCGCGCAGGGCGCGGCAGGCGCTGCATTTTCTCGACACCAGGAGGGTGCGCAGGGGGTGCGGTCTCTATCCGTTGCAGGCGCGCAGGGCGCGGCAGGCGTGGCATTGTTCTTTCCTCGACACCATAGGTGGAGCACACGGTGCGGTCCTCAATGCGTTGCAGGCGCGCAGTAAGAAATGTCGCACAAGAGCAATATATATATAGAGCTATTTAGATATCTGTGTGTATAGTCCCTAGCCAAACTTGGTAAAGAAGGCGCGGCACTTTTCCTCGACACCAGGAGGGTGCGCAGGTGGTTCTACTCTATGCGATTTCAGGCGCCGCAAGTGCGCGCAAGGCGTGGCAATCTCTCGACGCCAGGGGTGCGCACAGGGGGTGCGGTCTCCAATGCGTTGCAGGCGCGCAGGGCAAACGGCAGGCGCGGCATTTCCTCGACACCAGGAGGGTCGCAGGGGGAGCGGATTCTCTAAGCGTTGCAGGAAGCGCAAGGGCGCGCAGGCTTGGCACTATTCTCCGCACCATGAGAGGGGTGCCAGGGTGTACGACGTATATGGCGATTGCAGGCGCGCAGGGCACGGCAGACGCGGCATTTTCTCGACGCCAGGAGGGTGCGCGTGGGGCGCGGCCTCTATGCGTTGCAAGCGCGCAGGGCGCGGCAGGCGTGGGAATTCTCGACGCCGGAGGGGGTGGACAGGGGGTGCGGTCTCTATGCGTTGCAGGCGCGCGGGGCACGGCAGGCGCGGCATTTTCTCGAAGCCAGGAGGGTGCGCAGGGGGTGCGGTCTCTATGCGTTGCAGGCGCGCAGGGCGCGGCAGGCGCGGGAATTCTCGACGCCAGAGGGGGTGCACATCGGGTGCGGTCTCTATGCGTTGCAGGCGCGCAAAGCACGGCAGGCGTGGCATTTTCTCGACACCAGAGGGGGTGCACAGGGGGTGCGGTCTCTATGCGTTGCAGGCGCGGGCACGGCAGGCGCGGCACTTTCTCGTCGCCAGGAGGGTGCGCAGGGGGTGCGGTCTCTATGCGTTGCAGGCGCGCAAAGCGGGGCAGGCGTGGCACTTCCTCGACGCCAGAGGGGGTGCACAGGGGGTGCGGTCTCTATGCGTTGCAGGCGCGCAGGGCACGGCAGGCGCGGCATTTCCTCGACGCCAGGAGGGTGCGCATGGGTGTGCGGTCTCTATGCGTTGCAGGTGCGCAGGGCATGGCAGGCGTGGGAATTCTCGACACCAGAGGGGGTGCACAGGGGGTGCGGTCTCTATGCGTTTCAGGCGTGCAGGGCGCGGCAGGCGTGGCAAAGTCTCGATAACAGAGGTGGGTGCGCGTGGGGTGCGGTTTCTATCCGTTGCAGGTTCGCACGGCGCAGCAGGCGTGTCATTTTCTCGACATCAGAGGGGGCGCGCAGGGAACGGCCACCAACATCATTCTCACATGCTTCTTTTCAGCTATCATCACTCCAGCCATAATATAAGTATGTGGGGTTCCTCGGTAGCGTAATTTGTGTGTCCTGGGGCCCCTTCAGTTGTTCCCCACATCCAAAGTGGGGTTCGTGTTTTCTTTGAACACCCCGCGCAGGAACAGGAACCCACCATCATCATCATCATCATCATCATCATCATCATCATCATCATCGCTCATTCCTCACACGCTCACTCACTCATCATCCCTCACTCACTCACTCACTCACTCACTCACTCACTCACTCACTCACTGACTCATCAGCACTAACATATGATGATGATGAGTGTGCGCGTGAGAGAGTGTGCTGATCATCGTCATCACCAGTCAGTCAGTCAGTCACTCACTCACTCATTCACTCACTCACTCACTCACTCACTCGTCTTGGGCTTCGTCTGTGAGTGAATTATGAGGAAGTCTCAGGCGGGAACCCCCTCTCTATGGGGCCCGCGGATTATGTTATTAATCCGAGCGGGTCATCCAATTCTTGTACTGTCGCCACTTTTGGGCTCTCGCGCTGCCAGAACGCCACTCCCGGGCGACATGTGTGAGTGAATTGCGAGGAAGTCTCAAGCGGGAGCCCCCTCCCTATGAGGCCCGCAGATCATG